CATGAAGGTTTTACCACCAAGGAAATGGTACCACTCCTCATACCACAACAAATGGAGCCCAACTAATAGCTGAGAAAGTCAAGAGAACAATCCACCAGCTAGCCCCTAACAGCTCTCACTTCCAAATGTATAAGTCAATAACTGCCTTTAGGATCCCAACTACTACCAGACACTGGCTTATCAATAAGAAGGTTGATGAGATGATGGAAAAACACATAGAAAAAATTCTACTCCAGAAAAGCCAAAGTGAACTCCAAGAACTGTAATGAATTTCAGCAGCTACAACAAGCTCTACAAGCTACAAGGAACTCCAAAAGCTACAGTTAGCTACAATAAGGTCCAAGAGCTCCAAGGAGCTACAGTAGCTCAGTTGAGCTCCAATACCACAGGAGACCTTGAAGAGCTCAGTAGAGCTCCAAGAACTCAGTAGAGCTCCAAGAGCTCTAAGAGCTCAGTAGAGCTCAAGAACTCAATAGAGCTCCAAGAGCTCAAGTGAGCTTCAACAGTTCTTACAACTTAGTCAGACAAAGAAATGGTCCCTACCAAGGAACAGACTGAGGAGGAAGAAGATGATGACAACTATGATGATATGGAAGATGGTGAGTATCAATATGAAAGCACTCCAAAAGAGAATAGCAATATTGGAATACAACAAAGACTCCTAATCAAAAGATCAGGTGATGAATTTGAAGTAGTACCTTCAAAGAAACAAAGAAAAATGTAGTTAGGTGGCGCTAGTGCAAGGGCAGCCATCTTGTTTTCATGTTTTATATATAAATTTTTTTTTTTTTTGTGGTGATGGTATAAATACTTATGTTTGTGTTCAGTTTAACTTACAACCTGATGAAGCCTCAAGTAGAGGCGAAATATTGTTGTAATATGTTTTAAAGTTTAAAATAAAAAGTTGATGAAAAAGAAAAAATTTAATTGTTATTGAATAAGACTAAGAGTTTGACAGAGCACTGAAGCACCAAGGAGCTCAGACATAGAGAACTCCTACCTATTGGAAAATTGGTAGAACCCTGGAACACCAACTAACCAGTTCCCAAAACCTGACTAAGACTGGGAGCCCAGATCTATAATCCTGACCAAGGAGAACCCCTACCTAACATTGAGTAAAAGTTAGGTATTACACTGGAACACTAGCTAACCAGTTCCCAAAAACATTACCAGAGTTGTGTGAGTGGCCTAACCCATAACCCTTACCAAACCCTAACCTACCCAGTACAGACTTTGGCAATGGACCCTAAACAAAACCAAGCTCCTAGAAGAACAAAAAAAACAGGAAGAAAGACACCCTACTCCAGAGCTCCAGACAAACCCAGATGGGTACAAGTCACAAAGAGCCAGACTGCACCTGATGCAAATGGTTTTAAAGGTTCTCTAAGTGACAAGGAAAAAGCCCTGACTAGAGCTATGAGTAAAACTTACAGTTCTATTCACCAGATTGAGAGACTTAAGGAATATAACCTTGGACCAAAAAGGCCATGGATATGATGGACTCAATTAGAATCACAGGAGGTCCCATTACTGGGGAAAGACTCAACCAACTACATGAAATAGCCAATACTTGTGCTAGAGAAACAAATAGAGTGGTGCTGGAGGAGCTCAATGAGAGGCTCTCTAAAATGAGGGACAAGATAAAAAATGATCAGCAAAATTACAATCAATCAGAGGTTAAGAAAGCTATTGAAGTAGCTAAAACCAGATCGATACAAAAATATGGCAAAAAGATTAATTGGGCCCAACTTAAAGAAAGTGTATACTTGGTTACCAAAAATCTAAAAGCTCCCTTAGATGACTCTTTCAATAGAGAGCTCCATGAAAATTTCAAAGAGCTCCCTACCATACAGAGATCCAAGAAACCAGCAGACAAAACCAGACACAAAGAACCTTACAAGAACTCTAAGGATGAAATCTCAGAACTAAGAAAGGAATTGGCAATCATGACTGTCTTATTTAAAGGAATTACAGAGAAAATGAGTGCTGATGAGGAGACTATGGACCAGGGAAACTCCTAACTCTTCAAGCACAACAGCATAACAATTATAATGTTTTTAAACATGTTTTTATCAATAAAACAGAACCAAGTATGGTTTTTAACCTATGTAGGAACTCTAACATCAAGAGTTCTTGCCTGAACACTATGGCACAAGGTCTAGGCTTTGCCTGGACTTGGGCCCCAAATAAATTTATAAACTTGCACTTCACAGGGATCTTGGATTATACATTAAAATGGCTAAAGATCATTGAGAAAAATGGTACACCAAGATTTCGAAATAATCCACTAAAGAAAAAACTTCTTGACATACAAGCACCATCTCTACCTGAACTAATGAGGGAGTTAAATTACATGCCCTCTAGTCATATTCCAGAAATTAACCATATCACAGACAGGATATATGACATTATAAAGGGCTCTGAAAAAATTAATAGAGCCCAGAAGGGTTTTGAAAATCAAGGCCTAATGAAAAACTTCCTCAACAATCATCCTAACATTATCATTAAACCAGCTGATAAAGGAAGAAGGATTGTCTTAATGGACAAAGAGGACTATGTCTTTGAAGCCATGACACAGCTCTGTGACAGAACAACCTACAAACAGGTCAGCAATAAAATAAGCTCTACCCAATGGACCCGGTTAAATGAAATCCTTAATGAATTGGTTACAATGAAAATTATTACCAAATCTACAGCAACTCTGATGGCTCCACAGAATAGCCCAGGAGATAGAAAGTTTTACCTCCTACCTAAAATTCATAAACACAGCTCCCAATGGAGAGTACCATATAGGATCCCCAAGGGGAGACCAGTGGTGAGCTATGTAGGCTCTGATCTATATAAAATATCTAAATTTGTTGATCACTATCTGGTCAAAATGGCAAAAAGTACCACCAGCTATGTTAAAAACACCCAACATTGCATTGGCAAACTATCTATGATACATAATTGGCAAAACAGAGGGATCTTCACAGCAGATGTAGAAGCTCTATACCCAAGCATTAACCCTCAATGGGGCATAAAAGCTGTTAAAGAGTTCATGTTAACCCACTACCATGAAGGTAGACCTGATGAACTAATCTTGGAACTCCTTTGGATTTGTCTCAACAACAATGATTTCACCTTTGGGAACCACAGGTTCCTGCAAATAAAGGGCACAGCTATGGGAGCTCCATTTAGTCCGGCATATGCAAACATAGTGTTACACACCTGGGAACACGAATTGGTCACAGATTTTACAGAGGACATTGAGTACTATGGCAGGTACATTGATGATATCATTTTGGTCACTAAACCAGACAGGGACATCATGGAGTTCAAGACAAGACTAAACAACAGAAATCCAGATATCAAGCTCACTTGGTCCCAGAACCCTAAATCAAGTACTTTTCTGGACTTGGACCTACATATACTAGGGAACTCTCTTTCCTGGGAAACCCATTTTAAGGCTACTGACTCCAGAATACTGCTACACACCAAATCCAATCATCCACCACACACATTCAGAGGTATCCTAATGAGCCAGCTAACTAGATATATGAGAAACTGCAAAGATCCCAAAATGGCTATCTCACAGTTCAAAGATCTCATTAGAATCAATAAAGTCAATGGCTACACCTGGAGAATGGGGAGGGACACCATTAAAAAATTCAACACCAGAGCTGAAGAAAAAAAGGCACTGAGGTATAAAGTCAATAAATGTTGTAACACTAGATGTGATACTTGCCTCAGACTGGACTCCAGAGATGAGGTATTTGACCTATACCAGGTCAACTCTTGGAGCTTAACCCAAAGCATTAACTGTAACACCAAGGGTTGTGTCTATATCCTACAATGCTCTATGTGTGGGTTAGCATATGTGGGTATGACTACAGATACTATCAAGTGTAGATGGGGTACCCATAATTTGGGCTTCAAAAACAAGATAGATAGACCACTATATAACCATATGGCAACACATGATATCAAGAAGTTCAAGATCTACATAGCTGCTGTAGCTCCTAAGGAACTCACAGAGAGCTCAGTAATAGTTTGGTTAATGAGAAAAGAAACTGAAATCATCAACCATTTGGATACACTGTTCCCACATGGTCTTAATAAACATGAAGGTTTTACCACCAAGGAAATGGTACCACTCCTCATACCACAACACAATGGAGCCCAACTAATAGCTGAGAAAGTCAAGAGAACAATCCACCAGCTAGCCCCTAACAGCTCTCACTTCCAAATGTATAAGTCAATAACTGCCTTTAGGATCCCAACTACTACCAGACACTGGCTTATCAATAAGAAGGTTGATGAGATGATGGAAAAACACATAGAAAAAATTCTACTCCAGAAAAGCCAAAGTGAACTCCAAGAACTGTAATGAATTTCAGCAGCTACAACAAGCTCTACAAGCTACAAGGAACTCCAAAAGCTACAGTTAGCTACAATAAGGTCCAAGAGCTCCAAGGAGCTACAGTAGCTCAGTTGAGCTCCAATACCACAGGAGACCTTGAAGAGCTCAGTAGAGCTCCAAGAACTCAGTAGAGCTCCAAGAGCTCCAAGAGCTCAGTAGAGCTCATGAACTCAATAGAGCTCCAAGAGCTCAAGTGAGCTTCAACAGTTCTTACAACTTAGTCAGACAAAGAAATGGTCCCTACCAAGGAACAGACTGAGGAGGAAGAAGATGATGACAACTATGATGATATGGAAGATGGTGAGTATCAATATGAAAGCACTCCAAAAGAGAATAGCAATATTGGAATACAACAAAGACTCCTAATCAAAAGATCAGGTGATGAATTTGAAGTAGTACCTTCAAAGAAACAAAGAAAAATGTAGTTAGGTGGCGCTAGTGCAAGGGCAGCCATCTTGTTTTCATGTTTTTATATATAAAATTTTTTTTTTTTTTTTTGTGGTGATGGTATAAATACTTATGTTGGTGTTCAGTTTAACTTACAACCTGATGAAGCCTCAAGTAGAGGCGAAATATTGTTGTAATATGTTTTAAAGTTTAAAATAAAAAGTTGATGAAAAAGAAAAAATTTAATTGTTATTGAATAAGACTAAGAGTTTGACAGAGCACTGAAGCACCAAGGAGCTCAGACATAGAGAACTCCTACCTATTGGAAAATTGGTAGAACCCTTGAACACCAACTAACCAGTTCCCAAAACCTGACTAAGACTGGGAGCCCAGATCTATAATCCTGACCAAGGAGAACCCCTACCTAACATTGAGTAAAAGTTAGGTATTACACTGGAACACTAGCTAACCAGTTCCCAAAAACATTACCAGAGTTGTGTGAGTGGCCTAACCCATAACCCTTACCAAACCCTAACCTACCCAGTACAGACTTTGGCAATGGACCCTAAACAAAACCAAGCTCCTAGAAGAACAAAAAAAACAGGAAGAAAGACACCCTACTCCAGAGCTCCAGACAAACCCAGATGGGTACAAGTCACAAAGAGCCAGACTGCACCTGATGCAAATGGTTTTAAAGGTTCTCTAAGTGACAAGGAAAAAGCCCTGACTAGAGCTATGAGTAAAACTTACAGTTCTATTCACCAGATTGAGAGACTTAAGGAATATAACCCTTGGACCAAAAAGGCCATGGATATGATGGACTCAATTAGAATCACAGGAGGTCCCATCACTGGGGAAAGACTCAACCAACTACATGAAATAGCCAATACTTGTGCTAGAGAAACAAATAGAGTGGTGCTGGAGGAGCTCAATGAGAGGCTCTCTAAAATGAGGGACAAGATAAAAAATGATCAGCAAAATTACAATCAATCAGAGGTTAAGAAAGCTATTGAAGTAGCCAAAACCAGATCGATACAAAAATATGGCAAAAAGATTAATTGGGCCCAACTTAAAGAAAGTGTATACTTGGTTACCAAAAATCTAAAAGCTCCCTTAGATGACTCTTTCAATAGAGAGCTCCATGAAAATTTCAAAGAGCTCCCTACCATACAGAGATCCAAGAAACCAGCAGACAAAACCAGACACAAAGAACCTTACAAGAACTCTAAGGATGAAATCTCAGAACTAAGAAAGGAATTGGCAATCATGACTGTCTTATTTAAAGGAATTACAGAGAAAATGAGTGCTGATGAGGAGACTATGGACCAGGGAAACTCCTAACTCTTCAAGCACAACAGCATAACAATTATAATGTTTTTAAACATGTTTTTATCAATAAAACAGAACCAAGTATGGTTTTTAACCTATGTAGGAACTCTAACATCAAGAGTTCTTGCCTGAACACTATGGCACAAGGTCTAGGCTTTGCCTGGACTTGGGCCCCAAATAAATTTATAAACTTGCACTTCACAGGGATCTTGGATTATACATTAAAATGGCTAAAGATCATTGAGAAAAATGGTACACCAAGATTTCGAAATAATCCACTAAAGAAAAAACTTCTTGACATACAAGCACCATCTCTACCTGAACTAATGAGGGAGTTAAATTACATGCCCTCTAGTCATATTCCAGAAATTAACCATATCACAGACAGGATATATGACATTATAAAGGGCTCTGAAAAAATTAATAGAGCCCAGAAGGGTTTTGAAAATCAAGGCCTAATGAAAAACTTCCTCAACAATCATCCTAACATTATCATTAAACCAGCTGATAAAGGAAGAAGGATTGTCTTAATGGACAAAGAGGACTATGTCTTTGAAGCCATGACACAGCTCTGTGACAGAACAACCTACAAACAGGTCAGCAATAAAATAAGCTCTACCCAATGGACCCGGTTAAATGAAATCCTTAATGAATTGGTTACAATGAAAATTATTACCAAATCTACAGCAACTCTGATGGCTCCACAGAATAGCCCAGGAGATAGAAAGTTTTACCTCCTACCTAAAATTCATAAACACAGCTCCCAATGGAGAGTACCATATAGGATCCCCAAGGGGAGACCAGTGGTGAGCTATGTAGGCTCTGATCTATATAAAATATCTAAATTTGTTGATCACTATCTGGTCAAAATGGCAAAAAGTACCACTAGCTATGTTAAAAACACCCAACATTGCATTGGCAAACTATCTATGATACATAATTGGCAAAACAGAGGGATCTTCACAGCAGATGTAGAAGCTCTATACCCAAGCATTAACCCTCAATGGGGCATAAAAGCTGTTAAAGAGTTCATGTTAACCCACTACCATGAAGGTAGACCTGATGAACTAATCTTGGAACTCCTTTGGATTTGTCTCAACAACAATGATTTCACCTTTGGGAACCACAGGTTCCTGCAAATAAAGGGCACAGCTATGGGAGCTCCATTTAGTCCAGCATATGCAAACATAGTGTTACACACCTGGGAACACGAATTGGTCACAGATTTTACAGAGGACATTGAGTACTATGGCAGGTACATTGATGATATCATTTTGGTCACTAAACCAGACAGGGACATCATGGAGTTCCAGACAAGACTAAACAACAGAAATCCAGATATCAAGCTCACTTGGTCCCAGAACCCTAAATCAAGTACTTTTCTGGACTTGGACCTACATATACTAGGGAACTCTCTTTCCTGGGAAACCCATTTTAAGGCTACTGACTCCAGAATACTGCTACACACCAAATCCAATCATCCACCACACACATTCAGAGGTATCCTAATGAGCCAGCTAACTAGATATATGAGAAACTGCAAAGATCCCAAAATGGCTATCTCACAGTTCAAAGATCTCATTAGAATCAATAAAGTCAATGGCTACACCTGGAGAATGGGGAGGGGACACCATTAAAAAATTCAACACCAGAGCTGAAGAAAAAAAGGCACTGAGGTATAAAGTCAATAAATGTTGTAACACTAGATGTGATACTTGCCTCAGACTGGACTCCAGAGATGAGGTATTTGACCTATACCAGGTCAACTCTTGGAGCTTAACCCAAAGCATTAACTGTAACACCAAGGGTTGTGTTATATCCTACAATGCTCTATGTGTGGGTTAGCATATGTGGGTATGACTACAGATACTATCAAGTGTAGATGGGGTACCCATAATTTGGGCTTCAAAAACAAGATAGATAGACCACTATATAACCATATGGCAACACATGATATCAAGAAGTTCAAGATCTACATAGCTGCTGTAGCTCCTAAGGAACTCACAGAGAGCTCAGTAATAGTTTGGTTAATGAGAAAAGAAACTGAAATCATCAAACCATTTGGATACACTGTTCCCACATGGTCTTAATAAACATGAAGGTTTTACCACCAAGGAAATGGTACCACTCCTCATACCACAACACAATGGAGCCCAACTAATAGCTGAGAAAGTCAAGAGACAATCCACCAGCTAGCCCCTAACAGCTCTCACTTCAAATGTATAAGTCAATAACTGCCTTTAGGATCCCAACTACTACCAGACACTGGCTTATCAATAAGAAGGTTGATGAGATGATGGAAAAACACATAGAAAAAATTCTACTCCAGAAAAGCCAAAGTGGAACTCCAAGAACTGTAATGAATTTCAGCAGCTACAACAAGCTCTACAAGCTACAAGGAACTCCAAAAGCTACAGTTAGCTACAATAAGGTCCAAGAGCTCCAAGGAGCTACAGTAGCTCAGTTGAGCTCCAATACCACAGGAGACCTTGAAGGCTCAGTAGAGCTCCAAGAACTCAGTAGAGCTCCAAGAGCTCCAAGAGCTCAGTAGAGCTCATGAACTCAATAGAGCTCCAAGAGCTCAAGTGAGCTTCAACAGTTCTTACAACTTAGTCAGACAAAGAAATGGTCCCTACCAAGGAACAGACTGAGGAGGAAGAAGATGATGACAACTATGATGATATGGAAGATGGTGAGTATCAATATGAAAGCACTCCAAAGAGAATAGCAATATTGGAATACAACAAAGACTCCTAATCAAAGATCAGGTGATGAATTTGAAGTAGTACCTTCAAAGAAACAAAGAAAAATGTAGTTAGGTGGCGCTAGTGCAAGGGCAGCCATCTTGTTTTCATGTTTTTTATATATAAAATTTTTTTTTTTTTTGTGGTGATGGTATAAATACTTATGTTGGTGTTCAGTTTAACTTACAACTGATGAAGCCTCAAGTAGAGGCGAAATATTGTGTAATATGTTTAAAGTTTAAAATAAAAAGTTGATGAAAAAGAAAAAATTTAATTGTTATTGAATAAGACTAAGAGTTTGACAGAGCACTGAAGCACCAAGGAGCTCAGACATAGAGAACTCCTACCTATTGGAAAATTGGTAGAACCCTGAACACCAACTAACAGTTCCAAAACCTGACTAAGACTGGGAGCCAGATCTATAATCCTGACCAAGGAGAACCCTACCTAACATTGAGTAAAAGTTAGGTATTACACTGGAACACTAGCTAACCAGTTCCCAAAAACATTACCAGAGTTGTGTGAGTGGCCTAACCCATAACCCTTACCAACCCTAACCTACCCAGTACAGACTTTGGCAATGGACCCTAAACAAAACCAAGCTCCTAGAAGAACAAAAAAACAGGAAGAAAGACACCCTACTCCAGAGCTCCAGACAAACCCAGATGGGTACAAGTCACAAAGAGCCAGACTGCACCTGATGCAAATGGTTTTAAAGGTTCTCTAAGTGACAAGGAAAAAGCCCTGACTAGAGCTATGAGTAAAACTTACAGTTCTATTCACCAGATTGAGAGACTTAAGGAATATAACCCTTGGACCAAAAAGGCCATGGATATGATGGACTCAATTAGAATCACAGGAGGTCCCATCACTGGGGAAAGACTCAACCAACTACATGAAATAGCCAATACTTGTGCTAGAGAAACAAATAGAGTGGTGCTGGAGGAGCTCAATGAGAGGCTCTCTAAAATGAGGGACAAGATAAAAAATGATCAGCAAAATTACAATCAATCAGAGGTTAAGAAAGCTATTGAAGTAGCCAAAACCAGATCGATACAAAAATATGGCAAAAAGATTAATTGGGCCCAACTTAAAGAAAGTGTATACTTGGTTACCAAAAATCTAAAAGCTCCCTTAGATGACTCTTTCAATAGAGAGCTCCATGAAAATTTCAAAGAGCTCCCTACCATACAGAGATCCAAGAAACCAGCAGACAAAACCAGACACAAAGAACCTTACAAGAACTCTAAGGATGAAATCTCAGAACTAAGAAAGGAATTGGCAATCATGACTGTCTTATTTAAAGGAATTACAGAGAAAATGAGTGCTGATGAGGAGACTATGGACCAGGGAAACTCCTAACTCTTCAAGCACAACAGCATAACAATTATAATGTTTTTAAACATGTTTTTATCAATAAAACAGAACCAAGTATGGTTTTTAACCTATGTAGGAACTCTAACATCAAGAGTTCTTGCCTGAACACTATGGCACAAGGTCTAGGCTTTGCCTGGACTTGGGCCCCAAATAAATTTATAAACTTGCACTTCACAGGGATCTTGGATTATACATTAAAATGGCTAAAGATCATTGAGAAAAATGGTACACCAAGATTTCGAAATAATCCACTAAAGAAAAAACTTCTTGACATACAAGCACCATCTCTACCTGAACTAATGAGGGAGTTAAATTACATGCCCTCTAGTCATATTCCAGAAATTAACCATATCACAGACAGGATATATGACATTATAAAGGGCTCTGAAAAAATTAATAGAGCCCAGAAGGGTTTTGAAAATCAAGGCCTAATGAAAAACTTCCTCAACAATCATCCTAACATTATCATTAAACCAGCTGATAAAGGAAGAAGGATTGTCTTAATGGACAAAGAGGACTATGTCTTTGAAGCCATGACACAGCTCTGTGACAGAACAACCTACAAACAGGTCAGCAATAAAATAAGCTCTACCCAATGGACCCGGTTAAATGAAATCCTTAATGAATTGGTTACAATGAAAATTATTACCAAATCTACAGCAACTCTGATGGCTCCACAGAATAGCCCAGGAGATAGAAAGTTTTACCTCCTACCTAAAATTCATAAACACAGCTCCCAATGGAGAGTACCATATAGGATCCCCAAGGGGAGACCAGTGGTGAGCTATGTAGGCTCTGATCTATATAAAATATCTAAATTTGTTGATCACTATCTGGTCAAAATGGCAAAAAGTACCACTAGCTATGTTAAAAACACCCAACATTGCATTGGCAAACTATCTATGATACATAATTGGCAAAACAGAGGGATCTTCACAGCAGATGTAGAAGCTCTATACCCAAGCATTAACCCTCAATGGGGCATAAAAGCTGTTAAAGAGTTCATGTTAACCCACTACCATGAAGGTAGACCTGATGAACTAATCTTGGAACTCCTTTGGATTTGTCTCAACAACAATGATTTCACCTTTGGGAACCACAGGTTCCTGCAAATAAAGGGCACAGCTATGGGAGCTCCATTTAGTCCAGCATATGCAAACATAGTGTTACACACCTGGGAACACGAATTGGTCACAGATTTTACAGAGGACATTGAGTACTATGGCAGGTACATTGATGATATCATTTTGGTCACTAAACCAGACAGGGACATCATGGAGTTCCAGACAAGACTAAACAACAGAAATCCAGATATCAAGCTCACTTGGTCCCAGAACCCTAAATCAAGTACTTTTCTGGACTTGGACCTACATATACTAGGGAACTCTCTTTCCTGGGAAACCCATTTTAAGGCTACTGACTCCAGAATACTGCTACACACCAAATCCAATCATCCACCACACACATTCAGAGGTATCCTAATGAGCCAGCTAACTAGATATATGAGAAACTGCAAAGATCCCAAAATGGCTATCTCACAGTTCAAAGATCTCATTAGAATCAATAAAGTCAATGGCTACACCTGGAGAATGGGGAGGGACACCATTAAAAAATTCAACACCAGAGCTGAAGAAAAAAAGGCACTGAGGTATAAAGTCAATAAATGTTGTAACACTAGATGTGATACTTGCCTCAGACTGGACTCCAGAGATGAGGTATTTGACCTATACCAGGTCAACTCTTGGAGCTTAACCCAAAGCATTAACTGTAACACCAAGGGTTGTGTCTATATCCTACAATGCTCTATGTGTGGGTTAGCATATGTGGGTATGACTACAGATACTATCAAGTGTAGATGGGGTACCCATAATTTGGGCTTCAAAAACAAGATAGATAGACCACTATATAACCATATGGCAACACATGATATCAAGAAGTTCAAGATCTACATAGCTGCTGTAGCTCCTAAGGAACTCACAGAGAGCTCAGTAATAGTTTGGTTAATGAGAAAAGAAACTGAAATCATCAACCATTTGGATACACTGTTCCCACATGGTCTTAATAAACATGAAGGTTTTACCACCAAGGAAATGGTACCACTCCTCATACCACAACACAATGGAGCCCAACTAATAGCTGAGAAAGTCAAGAGAACAATCCACCAGCTAGCCCCTAACAGCTCTCACTTCCAAATGTATAAGTCAATAACTGCCTTTAGGATCCCAACTACTACCAGACACTGGCTTATCAATAAGAAGGTTGATGAGATGATGGAAAAACACATAGAAAAAATTCTACTCCAGAAAAGCCAAAGTGAACTCCAAGAACTGTAATGAATTTCAGCAGCTACAACAAGCTCTACAAGCTACAAGGAACTCCAAAAGCTACAGTTAGCTACAATAAGGTCCAAGAGCTCCAAGGAGCTACAGTAGCTCAGTTGAGCTCCAATACCACAGGAGACCTTGAAGAGCTCAGTAGAGCTCCAAGAACTCAGTAGAGCTCCAAGAGCTCCAAGAGCTCAGTAGAGCTCATGAACTCAATAGAGCTCCAAGAGCTCAAGTGAGCTTCAACAGTTCTTACAACTTAGTCAGACAAAGAAATGGTCCCTACCAAGGAACAGACTGAGGAGGAAGAAGATGATGACAACTATGATGATATGGAAGATGGTGAGTATCAATATGAAAGCACTCCAAAAGAGAATAGCAATATTGGAATACAACAAAGACTCCTAATCAAAAGATCAGGTGATGAATTTGAAGTAGTACCTTCAAAGAAACAAAGAAAAATGTAGTTAGGTGGCGCTAGTGCAAGGGCAGCCATCTTGTTTTCATGTTTTTTATATATAAAATTTTTTTTTTTTTTTGTGGTGATGGTATAAATACTTATGTTGGTGTTCAGTTTAACTTACAACCTGATGAAGCCTCAAGTAGAGGCGAAATATTGTTGTAATATGTTTTAAAGTTTAAAATAAAAAGTTGATGAAAAAGAAAAAATTTAATTGTTATTGAATAAGACTAAGAGTTTGACAGAGCACTGAAGCACCAAGGAGCTCAGACATAGAGAACTCCTACCTATTGGAAAATTGGTAGAACCCTGGAACACCAACTAACCAGTTCCCAAAACCTGACTAAGACTGGGAGCCCAGATCTATAATCCTGACCAAGGAGAACCCCTACCTAACATTGAGTAAAAGTTAGGTATTACACTGGAACACTAGCTAACCAGTTCCCAAAAACATTACCAGAGTTGTGTGAGTGGCCTAACCCATAACCCTTACCAAACCCTAACCTAACCCTAACCCTAACCCTAACCTAACCCTAACCCTAACCCTAACCTAACCCTAACCCTAACCCTAACCCTAACCTAACCCTAACCTAACCCTAACCTAACCTAACCCTGTTCCCAAAAACATTACCAGAGTTGTGTGAGTGGCCTAACCCATAACCCTTACCAAACCCTAACCTAACCCTAACCCTAACCCTAACCCTTCTTTTGTTGTTAAACAAAGAGAGAGAATTTTAATCTTTGCAACAAACCATCAGCTGAATTTATTATCAAAATCCAACTGTTTTGTACATTGGTGGTACTTTCAAGATAAAGCTGCTTTTTTGTTTTTGTGAACATTGAAATTGGTGAACTATCAACTCTTAAAAGAGTATATAAACCCTACGAAATTAACAGTTGATAGTTCAGTTCCTAACCTATTCAGAAAATATTATTGACAGAATAAAAGCATGTGTTCATTTCAATCCGCGGTCTTAAATTCATTAAACTGATTATTTACTCATAATTATTGAATATGTCTCCCAATCCTTTGGATAAAAACAAACATATTTTGTGCATTCTTAGTAAGATCGGCACGTACAATTACAATCCCATTTCCAGACTTTCCTATTGCCATGTATCCCCTTCTGGGGTCATAATAAAAAATTACAGAGTCATGAGTTGCAACATACTGAAAGTGACCTCCTTCAATGTGAAGAACAATTCCCTGTTTTAAAAAAAATACCCCTGGTTCTTTTAGAGCAAATTTTCATTTTAAACCTTTTAAAATTATTTAAATTACCATAAAGAATCCAACATCATTTGCTTTCATCTTTTCAACAATTAGTTCTCTTTGAGGATCAGTTAGTGGTACATTTAGTCCTCCAGAATGTTTAGTTGCAAAGGCTCCATCTTTACCAATGATAGTAATTTGCTCAACAGGTAGATATCCATCAAAGTACTCTCTTTCTTCATCAAGCCAAATTGGAAGCTGACTATCATAGTTTTCTCTCTTCATTAACTTTTAAAGAAATGTTTGAATGTTATCATGAATTTTCTACAAAAAAATTATTAGAATTTTTTTACCGATTTTCTAACCAATTGCTGTAAACTGTTCAATTCAATTTCCTTTTTGACCTTCTCAACAAAACTTCTAAGAGAGCTTAACTGAGAATTCTCTTCATAAGCTCTAACAAAATTAAAGCAAATGGCAACAAGTAAAATGGCTTTCCACATTTTCAACTATGATTTTATTATGAGAATAAAATTGATAGACAACTCTTTACGTTTAAACTAACAGTATTTATGAAGAAAACCAGTTGTATTCAATACATAGTAAACAAATTGAAAATTGTCAAGCTTAGCCTATCAATATTACTTATATTGTTGTTTGTCCACATACATTCGTCAGCTATATTCTACAATAGAGAAGTAGTATTGAACCAGTATTGTACTATGCAGATAGCACTGATAAAGATAAGCAGTAGTGACCTAGTTTCGCATAGGGCAGTGCATACACATTATGCAGTAATAAAACCTATTGAATTATATAAAGAATATTTGCTATTTGCAACCTAGCATTAATATTACAATTTATTAATCCATAAATTTATGATTTCGAACTAAAACTAGTTCAATTAATTATCAATTATGCTTCAATTCTAAGTTTAGATTATATTCACTGTTCAACAGTATTGTATACACAATACTGTTCTTTTTAACATGCATTAATCAGATATACTTCCTCCTTATATGCTGATGCTAAATTTACTAACTCAATCAATTGAATATCATTATTAAGGTAGAATATAAAAACGGTCAAATATACAATCTACATGTTTTCTTCATTGTTGGACTTGTCCTACTAAAATTGTTACATCTTATGCAACTCTCCAACCTTCGAAATTCAACTATTATTTCGAAGAGGAAAACAATAAAAACATGACCATATTTAGAACTTTTCTTTGTCTTCAAATGTTACTTTTGTTTTTGTGAACATTGAAATTTGTGAACTATCAACCCTTAAAAGAGTATATAAACCCTACGAAATTAACAGTTGATAGTTCAGTTTTCTAACCTTTAGCTAGTTGTTTAAACTAGCTTGTTTAGAACTAGAAGCTCATTTTACTCAATACATATTCTTTGGACGAAATACTGGTGTTTTGTTAATCAATTTCTACTGAAATTGCCTTTGTTAGACTATTTGTGGACGAACTTTAAAGGTTCTATTTGGACCAGTACTTTGGCAAGTTGGTAAATGATTGGAAAGGACGATTACAGTTGTGACGAACCAGAAATTCCTACAATTACAATACAACACAGTACAAATATGGCGCAGTCGACAGCCCACAATGCTACTTCAATGAATGTTATTTTGGTTTATGAGAATGACAAAGCCAGAGCCAAGGAAGTAGATGAGTATCTTTCAAAAATTAATGAATTAATGTTGAGAATTAAAAGTAGTGGAGCCAAAGTTGATGGTAATAGCTTTTTAAAGTACCATTTGATGACTGGGGCAGCTACAATTCCTGAAGGTATGGTTAATCCTGATCCTACTCAACCAGAATTCAGTTATAATGGCATTCAAGATAATGCTTTGGAAAAGACAATTGCAAGTCTTCTAATTGATGCTAATGAGAAACCTAATACTACTTTGCTGAGACCCTATTCTGGTAGCAAAGATACTTGGGCCTTTAAGAGGAACTTTCAAACAGCTTGTGAATTAAACCTTTGGGATACAGAAGAGAAAAGAGTTCGAATGCTGAGAAAATACACTACTGGAAGAGCCAGAGATGTTATTGAAAGTTTACCCTCCATGGCAAATGAAAATGAAATTTGGGATGCATTGGATGAAGAATTTAATCCAGATCCTATGGCTTACAAAAAAGAAATTGATAGATTGAGACAGTTCAATGATGAAACTGTCCAAAGTTTTGTTAGAAGAAGTAAAGAACTTGTGGAAAAATTCCTACCATTCAATACTACTGAAATGGCTTGTGTTACTGAAAGAGTTAGAGAACTTCAACTGTTAACTGTATTCAGGAATGGTCTTAAAGGAAAAATTGTTAATCATGTGGAAAAAGATGGAAAGATTAACTCAGTTAATCAGTATATTAAATTGGCAAAAAGAGCAGAAATATTTTTTGATAATGCAAGAAAAGAAAGTGAAAATGAATTCAAACAGTACAAAAGGAGATTTGACAACAATCAGAGTAACTCAAATCAAAATGAACATACATTTAAACCTTTTTCTCAAAATAGATTTCAACAACAAAGAAATGGAAATGCAGGAAATAATGAAAAAGGCAGCTTTAACAGACTAATACATGTTGGACCTGATGAACCTAATGAAACTGAAATTTCTAAAGGAAGAATGGCAATATTTAATCTCAAAGAAGAGAAAATCGCACATTTTAAGTGTACTTCTTTGGTAAAAGGCAGAAAAGATTTCCAATTTTGAATGAAAAATCATAATGGAAGAGAGGTTATTGCTTTATGTGATTCAGGAGCACTTTTGTCATTTATTACAGAAAAAGAAATCAGGTTAATGGATTCTAAATTCATCAAGAAAGAAACTACTGGCTTACCAATCATCACTTCAGCAGAGGGAAATGCTTTAAAGACAAAAGGAAAAACAAAACTGAATATTCAATTTAATGGAAGAATTATGGAAGAAGAATTCTTTATTATGGAAAAACTAGATATGGCTATAATACTTGGTTGTGATTTCTTAGAAAATGCTGGAGCTCTTATTGATTTTGCAACAAAACAAGTTTGTCTTCCATTCTTTATCAGAAAAGGACAACCAGTTAGAAAGTTTTTGCAATATAACGAAAATCACCAAACAAAATTTGGAAAACAAGGCAGTGTAAAAAAAGTAACTGTTGGAATGATGGGACAGTATTATGAAGATTCTGACACTCCATCTGAAGTTTTTGATACTCCATCTGAAGTTTCAGATAGTGTGGACTCAGAAATGGAAGTTACTAATCCAGATACTGGCTATGATACAAGCAACACTCATGGTTCAAGCATAGTTTATGAGGGATTCAATGGTTTTGATTCAAATAGCAATTATGGCACAGATGAAAGTTCCAGTACTTCTGAAAATTATGATACAGAAACAAGTATTGAATCAGATCACAGCCCAGACTCAGATTTGGATATAATCAATGGTACAAGCTCATCTGAAGATGAAATTAGTGATTCAACTGATTCTGATCATGGTTCAATGATTGTTATAGACTCATCTGAGGAAGAGCTTGATAACATAACTGAGCCTGATAATGATTCAATGATTGTTATAGACTCATCTGAAGAAGAGACCAGTAACACAATTGAGTCTGACAATGATTCCATAATGGTTATAGACTCATCTGATGAAGAGACTGGAAATATACCTAAGTCTGACAATGACTCAGTTATTCTCATAAATTCCTCTGAAGAAGAAACTGAAGACTTGGCTATGGAAATGGAAATGAAACCACAATACATAGAATTAGAAGATGGAATAACTATCAAAGTGGAAAAAGAACAAAAGAAAAATCCAGTAACTCCTGAAATAGAAGAATTACAGTTGGAAAGTATTGAATTTGAACATTTGTTCAATTCCACCAATGGCAATTGAATTATTGGAAGATATAAAGCCTTTCAAACAAAGACCATACAGATTGCCACCCAACAAACAGCAGGAATGCAGGGATCAATTAAATGGATTATTGGAAAATGGTCTAATTAGAGCAAGCAAAAGCCAATGGGCTTCACCCATTGTTTTTGTGAAAAAGAAAGAAGGAACATTAAGAATGTGTGTGGATTACAGAAAACTTAACAAGCAATCAAAAAAGAATTGTTATCCAATCCCACATCAGGAAGATTTATTTGATAAGCTTGGAGGAGGCCACAAATATTTTTCTATATTGGATAGGGTTAGGGTTAGGTTAGGCCTTGGGGTTAGGGATTAGCACAATCAGTACAGACTGGTAATCCCAAAAGTGCACACACACTTATAACCAAGCTTTGGCTAAGGGTTGGTGTAGCTATTGAGGAGTTGCTATCTTGAGTAGCAATTCCCCAGCCTAAGCTGTAACTGTATCTCCAACAAAACCACTTACAAATTCTCCACAAGGGTGAAGAGAACCTGTATTTAGCAACTAAAACAATGTCACCAGATTAAAACTCACAATATTTTGGAGGTATTCCTCCTTTATCAAGTGAGAGGGGAAAAGTGGCTGGTTAGATTGCCACCAGACTGATCTCTGAGAGGCTTACTATACCTTAGGGTAGGTACTGGTTCAATCCCACACTTTTTTCACTACAAATCACCTACTTGGTGCTCAGTAAAGCAAGTCGACCACTGACGAAAGTTGAAATTTCAACTTGCTCCAATTGTTATGACATTTTACACAGTGCTAGATCTAATTGAACTGAGCAACTGTGCAAAATTTGAACGAAATCGGCCCAGCGGTTGCGAAGCTATGGAGCTTTGAAGTTAACAGTGGTAGGTGAGGATGGCTGACTAGCCGCCTTAGACTCTATCGCCAGTATCTCGACCCTACGTTCTATAGTAATTAGAGGGTAACCTTTCAAAAATCGCAGGTATAACAATCAGGTAAGTCACTTTTCATAAAATGTAACAGAAGAAGACCTAGATTCAATTCTAACACTGTGTTAGGCTGGACTTCAAATATTTTCGGAAAATATTTTTTCCAAAATCTTTCTAAGTACCCAGGCGAATGTAACGTTTTTACAGGTAATTAACCTGACAATGAACTTAGAAAATTATTGATTTTCGCGAAATCTTTACAAGTCCAGAGCCTCAGTGAAGGCCAATTTTTCAAAATCGTCGGATTGCTTTCAAACTTGAATCCAAGCTTGCCCCTACGTCGGAAAGATAGAAAAAAATATTTTTATTTTTCTACCCAAACTCGGAAAATTTTCGATTTTCGAAGCTCAGCCACTCCTGAACCGTAAGAGCTACATGGTCGTGTAGCATATCAGTGAAAAGCTCTTTTCGAGCTCTATCACCTCCAACAAAATTGAAACGTCTAGGATAACGCATAACGAAACTCCTAAACGGCCCAGATTTGGGACATTTTTGCCACAGCACTGATTTTTTTGGATCAAAACTAACTCATTGATATATATATCCTTAGGGTACTATGTAGCATATGGTCTGTAGACCCATGTTAACCTTTCAACAACTTATATATATCAGTGTACAACTTTGGTTATATTTTACATGCTTGAACTCTATTATTTTATGCAACATATACATGTACATCTTAAAACCTATGCAAGAAAATGCTATAACATTGGCCAAACATAAGTCTGATTAGTCAGCTTGAAGGCTCATCTTTAATTACCAATAAAGGTTTGGCCAAGTTATAACTTAATTAACTTGCCTAGGGTGTGGCCAAGTTATAATTCAATTAACCTTCCTAAATGTTGAACCTTGTAACATCCTGTTACTAAAGATAAATATGAACTACACATTTCGGCAACT